GAGATCGTGGCCAGTGACCAGGACGTATGTGCACAGTTCCCGGTGGTCGCTCTCGATTGTGTGGTGTTGGGGAAGAACGCGCAGTCCCCGGTCATGGGGTTGCACAGGCAGAGACTGGAGGGACGAGGCATTCAGCCTGTTCGCTGGTTGGTTTCAGCCAGCCCAAATCAACTAGCTAACAGTGTTTTTCTCTCACAAAAAATCAGCACCAGCCAGCCCAAACCAGCACCAGCATCGACCAGCGAACAGGCCCATTGCCGATGATTGCCCGCTGCCATGGCCTGCGGTAGTTCGTCCTTCGTCCATCGCGCGTGCCATGCGCGGCGAAAGACCGATGCGCGCCACTACGATGCGCGTATTTTTACGCGCGGAAGCGGCCGGTTTGTCAGGTGCCAAAAGATGGGGAAGGAATATGGGGTACACTTAGAGAAGAGTTTTTCTCTTTTTTCCAAAAAACATAGATGAGGAAGGAATATGGGGCACTCTGATGCTCTAAGCAAGTTATTAGCTCTAATTAATTTGATGAGTGAAAGGTTAGTATGGTAATTGGGGCTCCCCCCGCCACCCCTCCCCCACGCGCACCCGAACCCGCACGTGATGAGTCCGAAGGACGCTTGGCGAATCCTGGACTCGAGGCTCGCCTGCCTCGGCCCTAAGCCGCAGCCGCCTCGCCATCGCCACGCCGACGCGCGCGGCGGCGGCTCCTCGCTTGAAGACGTCGCTCCTCCTCCCCCCGGCACCCCTCGCCCACGCGCATCCGAACCCGAACCCCATTACGGCGACGCGGAAGGACGCGAGGCTGTGCACAAGCCCTAGCGCCGCGCTGGCCTGTCCTCGCTTGCACCCGCTGTTGCCCATTGTGAATTCCCCAAAGTGATGATTGATAAGTAGGTGTCTTTCGAACATGGATGTCTTTAGGCGTCGGACTCGTTCCAAGTTGAGGGAAATAATTTTTGCTGTCAGCTCATGTTGTAATGGGTAAGCTTCTACCTCTAATTCAATAGCCTGAAAAAAAAAACAGTGCAATCACTTTATTTTTACTGATGGTTCACCAAATCATTATCAGTAACATTGGACATAACTAAAAGTACACAAACGGGTAATGCAGTATGTGTAAGTTCACTGTAAATGTGTTAAGACAACTCCATTATTAGTAAAATTTGGTAGTCATAACTGGTAAGCAATCTGACATGCACGAATCAGAGAAATGAACAATAGATCAAGAAACACTGAAACTAATAGCTGACACATGGTGCACCAAACTTCGGTTACTTTACCACTGAAAAAACCAATACTAATTTGGCTATTTGCTAATCGATAAGGCTAATTAGAAAACCGGACACAATAGCAGACTGACAGTGCTTATCAGACATTTACAGTAGAGGCAAAATATCGAGCATGCACGGCTCGTGAAGCAGGCCCTGAATCCCGCACGCTCAACGAGGCGTGCGCTCAGCGCGTCGTAGCACCCAGCGCCTCCAGGACCCGTGGGAGCGCCGCCGCGAGTAGCTCCACCGGCCCAGGGTTGATGTTGGCGCCGCCGAATGTCAGACCGAGCGCGGGCACACCGAACGCAGGCGGCAGCAGGCAACACGCCGTATGCAGGCGGGGTCAGCGGCGGCGGGGGGGGGGGGCGTGGCCGTGGAGCTGGTCCGCCTCTGCTAGGAACAGGCGTTGTCGGGCTTAGCCTCCCCGTCGTCCTCCTCCACGGTGTCGATCCCCGCCATGGTTGCTGCCCGGACCGCCGCGTCCACGAGCGCACCTCGCCGCCCGCACCCCCCGGCACTGGGGACGGCCACCGCCGCCACGAAGGGGAGCGCGGACGCCGCCGAGCCTGGATCTCGCCTCCTTCACCGCCATCGCCGGATCTACGCGGTGTCGTCGTTCGCCGGGGGCCGGTAAGGAGGGATCGCGTGCCCTGGCCGCCGTAGCCCTGCCCTCGCCCTAGCAGCCGGCGCCACCGCAGCAAGGAGACTCGGTGAGAAGAACAGAGAGACGACGACAGAGTGGCATGGTCTGAATTTGAGAAATACATGTGATAAACTATACTATTTCAATCATCCCTATACTATTCAAACATTATTTTTCTATTATAAATTTACCATTCTACCCTTAATTAATTACATAATTTTTTTTAAATAGAATGATTCCTACTTATTGTTTGCTAACATGATAACAGAGGCTAGGCCCTGTTCGCTTATCTTATAATCCATCTTTTTTAGCTTGTTTTTTCAGCCGGAATAGTATTTTTCTCTCACAACAAATCAGCCGGAACAGTGTTTCGGCTTGTTTTTTCAGCGAAGCGAACGGGGCCTTAAGCACCAATAATTTGCAATGTACTACGGTGCTAACGTGGATAACATGATTCCTACTTATTGTTTGCTAACATGATAACAGAGGCTACTTAAGCACCAATAATTTGCAGTGTACTCCCTACATCTTGTAATATAGTGTATTCCAAAAATTTTAAGGTAACTTAAGGAAATCCTTAAATGACGCATGTACCCATAGATTAAACCCAATTAAGGTGTTTCTCTTCAGATTATGGTTTCCTTTTTAACAAACTTTGTCAAATCTAGACATTAACACCATATAGAATGCACTATATTTCAGTACAAATTTTAGAAGTCAGAATGCACTATATTTCAGGACGAATGGAGTAGGGACTAATTTTTATACAAATGCTTAATTTATTTATATAATAATATTCTCTTATTATTCACTTGCGTACTAATAGTTTGGAATTAATAATTTTTTATGAATTTTGCAAAGTTGCTCCCCTTAATGTAAAGTTTTGCATTTTTTTTTGTTGATGTGCTGTTGTCGTTCTTGTCACTATGCTGCACACACGCCGGCCTCTTCCATGTCGTGCCGCGCATGACCTCCACAGCAAGCCCACACGAGCTCCTCCACAACAAGCCCATGCCAGCTCCTCCGATCCATGGGGAGCCGAACGACAAGCTCCACAGCGCCGCAGATCTTGTCGAACCGAGGGAGACAAAACTTCTAGGGTTGCGGGAGTCTAGCGGAGGTGCTACCGGCGATGGTGATGGAGACCGAGTAGTAGGCGCCTTGGTCGATTCGTGTGGTTGCGGGAGAAGAACTTGTGTCCTTGATCTAGGGGCCATGGCTGTCGATCTGGTCCAAGCGAGAAAAAGGACCGTGGGCATGGCTTCCCATGCAATCCGAGGGAGAAAAAGAAAAGAAGAAAACAAAAAATAAATAAAATAATTTGGGTCCCGTATGTTGCCATATTAGGGGAGGTTTATTGGTGATCTGATGTAGCATCTTTCTTAATAACCCACAAAAATAGTATCGGACCATCCTATTCGAAATAAAGTATTGAGGAGCTGCTGCTGGCGCTCTTAATGAGATGACTTTATCTGCACTCACACTACTACAACAAGATAGACAAATGTTTTTTACTTCCAGAGGTAGATAAACCGACCACACCTCTAATAAATTACCATTATTAATGTTCATTTAGGCCTCGTTTCGATGTTGCCGGATTCATCTTAATCCATATGTATTGGGAAGGAATTTAGTTGAAATTCCACTCTAACACATGTGGATTGATGCGAATCTCAATCCAAATAAAGCCTTACCGAGGCGGTCGATGTGTCCGTCTTTTTAGGACGGAGGTATAGTAGCAAAAACTGTCCATTGGGGGACAATCCTGTACTAGTAAAAACTAATATTTATCTCCGTAAAAAAGAATAATATTCATAATAGCAAATAAGTATTAATAGAAAAATCATGTAATATATTGTCATGGTATAAATTCATTGGGGGACATAAATATTCGTGCTAAACTTAAGTCAGACGTCACAGGAGCACGTCTAGTCGAGCCCAACGCTACAGTGTCGGGTCGCAGGAAATGTAAGGCCGGGAAAATGGTCGTGGGACGTCCCTTTCGTAGTCCGTCACGGGATATTTTGATCCCAATCCGCACAAGCAGGGCGGTTTATGGCACCTGTACAGCAGCGCCTCCCTGTCACCTTGCCGGCTACAAAGACGAACACAGAGCAACAACCCATCAGACGATCGGTTACCAAACGGCGACTGTTGGGTGGGCTGTGCTGGATAGCTCGAGCGACGGCCTTCACGGCGGCTTGACGACCCTGAAATCAGCGGCGGACAAATGGAAAAACTGCAGTGGGTCCTGGGAGGTCCGGCACCCTCCCAAACGCCCAAACCACGCACTGTTGCACATCCGTCCGTCTCTGCGATCTCCTGTCGGTTTTGATTAACATGCATGGCCACGAAAATCGCATCTTATTTTTACTTGAAAAAAAAGAAGTGATTGAATCGCCAAGTCTATTTCGGATTTCCGGTGATGTTTTTAAGCCAAAAAAAAAGTTATGTGTGTATATCACACCTTATTAGTTTGATGAACAACCATCTTTTTGTCAGCCTGTTCGCTGGTTGGTTTCAGCCAGTCCAAATCAGCCAACCAATCGTGTTTTCCTCTCACAACAAACCAGCACCAGCCAATCCAAACCAGCACCAGCACCAGCACCAACCAGCGAACAGGCCCTGTGTGTGCAAATGTTCGCAAAGCGACGCTTCTTAATTACTATCAGCAGCATCCATCCATCCATCCATCCATCAGGCGGCTTGTCACTCGGCATATGACAGAGGCAAATAAGCAACGAATCAGCACTCGACGGCCGCCATCGATCCACGCACGTCACTACCGCTACATCGCTTACATCACAGTGCACCCGGCCGAGACCGGTGCCTCCACGGCACCACCCGTCAAGGCCGTGCCGCCGGTGCCCGCGTGGGGCGTGGCAGCCCATAGGCGACAGCCGCGTCCGGCCGCACCGGCACCGGCGCGCTCACAGCGCCACACCCCCTCTATATATTCCGCTCCCCGCCCGCCTCTAGCTACAGCCATAAGCCATCCCGGCCAGCCGCAGCAGGAGCCCAAGCAAGCGCCCAACCCCAACCCACCCCGTGCAACTTCGTTCCTCTGCCATCTCCGGCGGCAGGGCGCCATGGATTCGAGGAGGAGGGCCATGGCTGTGTCCGCCGTGATGGTTGTGGTGGCGATGCTGATGATGTCGGCGGGGGTGGGCGGCGACTTCGCGGCGGACCAGGCGGAGTGCTCGGACACGCTGGTGGGGCTGGCGACGTGCCTGACGTACGTGCAGGAGCAGGCGACGGCGTCGGCGCCGACGCCCGACTGCTGCGCGGGGCTCAAGGCGGTGCTGCAGAGCAACCGCAAGTGCCTGTGCGTGCTGATCCAGGACCGTGACAACCCCAACCTGGGGCTCAAGCTCAACGTCACCAAGGCGCTCGGCCTCCCCGCCGTCTGCAACGCGCCCGCCAACATCTCCGACTGCCCCAGTACGTAATTTATTCACGGTTTCCTCCGTTCCAAATTATAGATTATAAGACGTCTGAGCTTTTCTAGATTCATTCATGACTTTTTTTATTAACAAAATTATCTTCTTCTTAATAAAATACGGGTACGAACCCTGAAAAATTATTACAAGTGGATAGTTTACACGTGAAAATTGAAAGCTAGGGTAATAAATGCATTAAGTGGAAGATGTTGTAACACTTATTGGAGAAGACGATGTGACACTTAGTGCAGTATGATAGTACATGAATAGTTTATATGTGGAGATTGAAAGTTATTAGAATTTGGTTTTATAAGGGATATATATATATATATATATATAAAGCTCGAGATAGCTTCACCTCCACTTTGTTAATTTTGCTAAGCCGAATACTACTAGGCCATACATAGATACAGTTGAAACATATATATGCATGCGGCCGCGTACGTCCATGTGTCAACCTAAGAAAATCGCCATTATTTTCTAGGAAAATAGGAGTAGAGAAATACGAATTGGTGTAAATTGACCTTCTCTGCATATACTACGTACTAGATCAGGGCAAAGCCCGACAGATCCTTTCCAGACGTGACGGCAATTGTAGGCACCTCCCGGGCGTGACCTCGTACGACGAACCAGGAACACAACGCCGTGTCACGACAAAAGCCTAAGGACACCAACATGTCACATGAATTCCGTGTCCCATAGGAAACGGAAACAGTAGTACTGTCCCATAGGAAACGGAAACGGACACCAACATGTCACATGAATTATGCGCCTGATCAGTGATCATTCTGGCCACTTTGGGCTACCAGAAGACCCGGCCTGCCTAACACTCTGACAGGGACAAGTGTGGACTCCTGCCGATCCACACTCCACACTCGAGAGAGAGGGGGAAAAAAGGAGAGACAAATCGAAGCAACAAGTCGGCAACAAAATGGAAAAGAATTGGATGCAGACGGTATCCAAATTTTTTCCCCCAACAAAATGCACCTATGACCTAGCTGTGGCCTTTAGCTAGCTCGTTAGGCACGCCATTCCTTACTCAAAAAAAAACGTGGGAATAAATTAAACACACTGGTTCATACCGTGCTATGTTTTTCCTCGGATGCTATGCTGCAACCTGCAACTGACATGTGTTTTTGTTTTGTGGCGACGACGACACGGCAGGGCTGCTGAACCTGCCGCCGGACTCCAAGGACGCGCAGGTGTTCGAGCAGTACGCGAAGCAGGCAGCGGCACAGGGCAGCGCACCCAGTAAGTTCCACCAAACTACCCTTTTCACACCCAGTAGTGCTCTTGCTGTGTGTCTGTTCTTTTGGACCTCACTTTGCACTTTTGTTTTCGACTGCAATTGCAATTATCATCATCATTGGCTTTATTTATCTGACGCTGTCTAACGCACGCCTAACCGTGGTGCCCTCCAGGTGGCGGCGGCAGCGCGGCGCCCGCGACCGCGCAGAAGAACGGAGCGGCGGCAGGTCCCGCCGAGCGGTGGTTGGGAGTGGGAAGCAGGGTCGGTGATGGCGGCGCACGCGCGGTGGCGCTCGCACTCTTCGCCCCGCTCGCCGTGCCTTTCCTGATTCTGCTCGGATAGAGACAGAGAAGATTGCGCGGCCGGCCGGAATCGATCCCGGCGGTTTAGTTGCCGACTTGTGGTGTCCTCGGGTGGGTGCGTGCGTGAGTGCTTGGTGCTGTAATTTTCGTATTATTATGAGGAAAGAAGATATAACTTTGAATGAAAAAAGAGTGTCTTTGTGCAATCTTCTTTTCTATAACTTTAGTATAGAAATGTTTGTGCTACAGCTATGCAATACTCAAGACCTACCTAAACCAAAGCTTAGAAGACCACAACTACAATCTTTAACGTATACGACCAGAAGTTCCGGGGTTATTACGTCCGGCGGTAGGCCATGGCACATCCACCGATACGATCCCCTTTGGCCTTTTGTCACAGGGTTGGGATTGGTGGCCATAGAGGAGGAGCCATTCTCACACGCCGCCTCCTCATCCTTCATCGCTTGTGTCGCCGCGTGATCGGTGACAAATGAAGAAGTTCATTGCTGGCTAGCAGCGGTGCGAATGGCAGGGCGGTAGCAGTGTGCTTGGGTTTCAATGGTGGTCGTGCGAAACCTTAGCCGTGATCAGCGTGCTCAAGTTCCAATGGTGGTTGTGTAAAGCCTTAGCCTAGATCGATTGCCTGGTCGCGAGTCGGAGCTGGCGAGACATCCCCAGATCTTCATCAAGACGCTGATGGGGAAGCACATCACGCTCCATGTCAAAGAGTAGCGACACCATCGATTACGTCAAGGCCAATAATATCTAGGTCCACTGCATTACGTCCCCTCTCCCTTGGCGACTTTAGATTGGTCACTAAAAATTGAGTCTTTCGTGATCGTGATTGATAACAACTTCATAGTAGCCAGACTGATCACTATGCCCGATCTGGTAGGGTTTCTTGGACGCTAGGAGAGGGAAAGGATCTTGGGATAGTGACACATGGATGCAGTATGGAGCTTTTCTTAGAGCATTAGTGCTTGGTGCTTGGTTTCTACTAATAATAATGTATTTTGGGAAGCTTTATTTAGTCGAGCATGTAGCGTCATGGAAGCTAAGGGAAGTTGGGGACTTGGGGTGGCTGCAGGAAGGGGACAAAACAAAGTGGCGACATGTACTAGCAGGCTAAGGGAATGAGCATTTGGGCTAAGCAGGGAAGCGCAGATAGCTCTCTCTTTTTTTTTTAGCAACGGGAAGTGCAGATAGCTATTGGGCCTCAATCGAGAGAGTGTGACAAAAGAAAAAAAAATCGGCTTCACACAACACAAGCCCAACAAGTTGTGGCTCTATGCCTCTATCCAATCTGCACAAGCACTCCGCGCACCCGTGCAGCGTGAGATGTGGCTTGCCGCTTGCGGGCCACGGTCCACGGGGGCATGGGGCATGGGGCAAGGCGTGTCGAGCGCTAGGGCCTGGGGCAGCATGCAGCTGCCGAGTGTCGAGCTCGGCGCATCGGGCTGTGAAGTCGTTTTCAGGCCTTCGGGCGAGCAGTGCGTCCAACAGGCCCTAAAAGCCTGGATGAAGTGATCGAAACTGCTACCAGTATTGCGGCAAGCCAGAAAGCAAATAATATTGGGACCGTGCCTCAGCTCGGATGGGGAGCTCTCCCGGTGCGGAAGCCACCGGTCCTGGGTTGAGGCCTGCTCGGCTCAGTGATTTTCCACTGTGGGATTTATTCTTAAAAAAAATAATCTTGTAGATTTTGGACACTCGCATGGCGCTACAATGGGACTACGACGTGTTCGTCGTCTACGAGGCTCGTGTGGCTTCGGTGATTTCCAGAAGGACGCTTGAGGTATATAGGTTGTAGCTTCTTGGGGTGTACGTATGTGTGGTGGTGTGAGTGTGTTATGTTGAGTACAAATACTACAACTTGTAAACTAGGAGTTCAGGCTCAAAAAGAAAGCAAATAATATCCCTAAAAAAAGCAAATAATAAGCCATGCAAATGTAATTTAGAATAGTTTAGTTGATCGATTGTCTGATTCAATATTTCACCCTCTTAGCAATTTTCTATATTCTACTATTTTTTGAACCAAATCCTTCTTTAATGTTGGGAATTATGTTGAAGTCATGCATTATTATTACCAATTGACGCTAAACTATTGAATTTTGTGTATAGATTGCTCCCATAAAGTGCATTATCTATTGATTTAGTAGACTCGAATTGCGTATTTGTTTTTCATTACTTCCTCGTGACGTATTTTGCACCATTCTACTTCGTTTTTCCTTTTGAAACTGCTTTAAATGCATATATTTGCATAGTAATGAACTTATGGTGGTAGTCGGTATAGTGTCTATTATCACCCTGTTCGTTGGTTGGTGCTGGTGCTGGTTTGGGCTGGCTGATGTTGGTTTTTTTAGAGGAAAACACTGTTGGCTGGTTGAATAAGCCTGGCTGAAACCAACAAGCGAACATGGTGTATGTTGAGCCCCCTCTACTATATTGTTTTCTGGATACTTTGTAATCGTGTAAGATCTGCATATATATGGAAAATGCAATAAGGTGTATTATAAAGACAAGTCTTTTAAGTCTAGGTAATCCTTTTAATTTGTCACATGGCTTGAGTTCAAATAATGTGAAATAATAAGATGGTGGGTCAGGGCTTACTATTTGGACTCCTGTACCTACAGGTGGTATCTTGCCAATGTGCTGTATTAGGCATACCTTGGTGTCTAGAATTTTTGTTGTAATATATCGACTAGGAAACTAATCTATAAACCAATTAGGTCGGAGCTCTATATTAGCCATACATCTCTGGACTATACAAAGAAAGGTGTAATAGACATCTCTAGTGCTCCTCAGTATACTGGCACAAGCAATACAAACACCATCATACATCGGATGTAGGGTGTCTGCCTATAAACTACTATAAATCTGTGTCTCTAGGCGTACTCTAGATCTTCTAAGCGCAATACATCCCATAATTGTTGCCTGTGGTAACGCGAGAGATAGTTTTGTTGCTCGAAGAAACTAGGGGTGAATTTGACCTGTAGGGCATCATTGAGGCACTTCATTTAATTTATATTGAAAATAGAGGGAGTAATATTTATTGTACAATCAAGGAGTGAGAGAGGGAGAGGATGTAACACCTCTAGTGTTACGAGCTCGCTAAGCACTGAGATTATGGCCTGAGAGATAGATCTATAACTATAGTGAGTTAGTTACTTAAATGTCCATATGTGTTAATGAAAAATCCTAACACGAAAAGTAGAATACGTAGTTCTAAATATTGGCACGGAAGCAATTTTTATAAATAAAAATACAATACGACTTGTATATAGTACTTAAATAAAATTCGAAGTGTAAGTTTAGTAGATGGAAATGCAACTTTTGTTTCGGTAAATAAATGTTGTTAAATAGTATTTTTGATAGCTCAAGGATTAATGTTGGAATTTAATTCCAGCCTCTATAACTAAAATGATCAAGTCTGAAAACCTAATAACGATGCCGTTTTGGCATTTAAATTTTGATTAAATTTCTTAAACACTATATTCGTGTTTTTGCACTGTTGGTTGTACCAAAGTGAGTACATGAGCATGGTGTAGGTCGAAGTCGTGTTGGAGATCACGTTGCTCTCGTAAAAATTGCCTAGACTTCGTTAGAACGCGTTACGGTCAGGTTTTGGTGCTCCGTTCGTAAATCAGCGCCTGGCCCAACGAACCTATTTTGGCGTGTCTCTATCTTTCTCGATAGTTCATCTAAGTTTGCGTTTGATGCTCCTTGGGATAGCCTTTAGGACCCTCTGGAGCCTTAGCAAATCGGTTTGGTCTCAACCGAGCTGGGTTGGTTTTGGTCGGAGCTTTAAAATTCGTGCACGCCACTGATAGCATCCGCTCGGTCCAGGTTCGTGGTCACCGCACACGGGGCGTTGCTGGCGCTGGGCCTCAGGCCACGGCCGGGCCGCTGCCGTTGCCCAGCTCACGCACGAGGTTGATGTCACGCATCGTCTGTGATTTGGCTCGCTGCTACGCGCACGTCGTGCTTAGGTGAATGGCCACGGTGCCACGCGCAGAGCAGGCCGTGGCCGCGACGAAAGGGACTCAGCAGACGTGGCGCTCGCCTCACCCTTCAATCCACCTACCGCATCGAGCACTTGAGCTGTCCTCACCCTTCAATCCACATGGGACGCTTCCCTGCCCTGCCGCTAGCCGCCATGGAGGGCTCTGCTCGGGTTTGGTCGCTTCGAGTTATGCGCGTAGTGCCAAATCGTCGGGCCTCGTCGCCTGTGTGCGCGAGCTCGCTGCCGTCGCTAGGGCTAGCCCTCGGTAGTGCGCCGTTAAGCTCCCCACCGCTACCTAGGAGTGCACGCTTAGCGGTAGGCAAAGGTCGGCTCTTTACCTCCTTGGTAGTGAGCTTGGGGTGCCCAGCGCAGCCACCCATGCCGCTGGTCACCATGCCGGCTAACGCGGGGTAGAGCAGGGACCTCCCCGTTGTGAAGGCGAAAACATCAGTGGTCCTTAGTGCAAAGCTTGTCTCTGGTGTAATAGTGCTTAGTGATGCCGCGTGATAATCTGTTACGCTGAGGGTTTTTCTGCAAAAGGGTGCAGGGGCACACACGGGCTCCCCGTCGCGGGCCGTTTAGGTTACTGGGCTGAAATAATTGGCCACCGGCTTTTCCTTTTTCTAAAGCGTTTCCAAATTAGTTTCTAGAGTAAATTTGTAAATTCAAGAAAACTTTGTGTAGCTGATAAAAAATTGTGAAACTAATTTTGTTAGGTTCCTAAAAGCATGACCTATCTGCTAATGTATTTTGTTCACTTAGTTCATAATATTTTCAAGAGTAGACTAATTAATTGGAAGCACTTAAAATGGGTAAAACATAAACTTGTAGGAATTATTGTGATAAATTGGTAGTAGTACTGGCCCTGAAATTTTTACAGTAGATTTCTAACAATATTAGGTGTTCACTGTGATTTTTTAGCTCCATAGGAATTAGTTTGTTAAGGTAACTAAATGAGCCCTAATACGAAAATATATATTTAATCAATCAAATGTCAAAAATAATTGGAGGTTTGTAGAACGAAAATATTTTTCCGG